TCCTAGCTTTTAAAAGAACTTGTTCATAGCTTAAAATATATGTGAATTTTTCTAATTAAAAGAATGACACATATAAGGATATGAGAACTAAAAGAAATGAACATCAATGCACACTGATAAATAGAGCATACCTTTCTATTCCTTCACCTTATTTGGTCATTTGTTTTCATAGTTTACATTGATTACTTACAATCGGTGATTGGCTATTATATGACAAAAATATTTAAAGCTATTAATTAATAATTACTTTAGAAAAGATGGTTCCTGATTCATCAACTAATAGTAACTTATTTCAGCATATAAAAAATAATATATCATAATCCATAGTAAGCTGGCCGAAAAGTGGCGAATGAATCACAAGTTTGTTGACGAAAAATAAATAATAGTATCGGTTTAACGCTCTTTGTAGAAAGCTCTCAATTTGTTTTAGCGAAAATATCAAAATCCATAAGGGACAAAACGCATCAAATGGAGAAAAATTCCTTGGGATAATCACTTTTTGGGCCGGCTATGAGATTTTAGCTACAATTTGATAACTAATAGGAAAATAGCCATATTTTCATGCGAAAATAAAGTTTGAACAAAAATACCGTCACCTACTTAAAACATGGAAGAACCCCATGAATCGGTAACAGGGTTTGAACTTATAAACCCTCGAATTCAAGAAATTGTTCTTGGAGTTTGGAATTCCAGTAAATTTTACATACTTAGTTGTGAAATTTTTGAACCCCATGAGTCTTTCATGAGGTTTAAACTTATAAAGTTTCGAACTCTTGCAATTGTTGTTGGAATTTGAAACAATGAAACTCCAGCATATTTTCACACTCAGTTGTGAAACTTTTAAACCCCATGAATCGTTTATGGAATCCAACAAATTTCATATATCCTTCGAACTCTAACAATTGTTCTTGGGATTTGAAGCTCGAGCAAATTTTCATATTTAGTTTTGGAATTGAAGTCCTAATCTATGTAGAAGTTAGAAATTGTATACTTACAGAGTTAGTTATTGAATTCTGTAGTCCATCTATCTATGTATAAAAGAGAGAAAAGTTGCTGGAAAGAGCAGAGGCAGTTGAATAAAATTTGTTGCTTCTTATTTAGTTTTAGTTCGTGTAACTTTTTTGTGCCCAGTGGAATTTTTGAACCCATGAATCGTTCATGGGCTTTGAACTTATAAAACTTCAAGTTCGAGCAAATTTTCTCACATAGTTGTGAAATTTTTGAACCCCCAGAACCATTTATGGGACTTTTGTCCCAATTTGTTTCGTGTAATTTTTGGTCACTTTCTAACAAGGCCACAAAATTGACCAAAGAGAGGAGAGGGAGTTATAGGAAGAGAGAATAAATAAAGAAATAGGTCTTTTTGGGATTTGACTATCCAATATCAATTTATTTTGGACTGTCTTAGCCCATAATCTAAGACTAAGATTTTGGCAATTCCTAATATATCTCATCACTCAGTGTCAATTTCCCTTACTTTTGAGCCGCCTTCACTTTATTCGTCGAGTTACAAAATGCAATAAATGAGCTTAAACATTAGCCTGATATGCAAAGAGAATTGAAGCCCATAGATTTTAAGCTAGATTTCTTTCTTATTTGTTAAATTTGTTGAGAAAATTCTGTTGATCGCAAAAATATGTCATAAGATGGTGAGTTAGGATGAGGCACAATGTAGATGCCAATTTCTACTAATGACTACAGAAATTAGTGCTCATGTGTTTTTTAAGTGCTTCTTATTCAATTTCTAATCCGGAAAAAGGTCAAAAATGTCCTTGAATTATTTAAAATAGTTCAAAAATGCCATCCATTTATTTTTGGTACCAAAAATATCTCTGTCGTCTATGTTTTGAACCACAAATGCCCTTAAACCGTTAGCATTGCCATTGAAGGTGACATGGCAGTCCAACTTTGTCACCTTCAATGGCAAAACTAACGGTTTAAGGGCATTTGTGGTCCAAAATATATACGGCAGAGATATTTTTGGTACCAAAAATAAATATAGGACATTTTTGAGCTATTTCAAATTATTCAAGGGCATTTTTAGCCCTTTTCCGATTTTTAATCTCCTAATCCAATTGGCTAATAACACGCTTGTTAACAACTTATTGTTGCCTGTGTAAAAATACCACCAATCACCAAAAACAAAAAAGAGAAATACAAGAATAATGGGTCGATTGTATACCTAAAATTTTCAAAGAACCGTTATTTTTTATTATTAAGCATCAATGCTCTTTGGAAAAAAAAGGCTCGGTACTACAATTATTATATGTTGATTATTAATTATTAATTTAATCCTTAAGCAAAAATAATATTACGGTTACGCTTTTTCTCTCTCTTCTCTCTCTAAACAGACCCATAACGGCTATTTTCTAACCGCAATTCCACCACACGCTCCAGTCTATGGACCCGCCGGACGGCATCGCTCCGGCGCGTCTGGAAGGTCAATCAACCCCAAATCCATCAGCGAACCAGTCTACTGAGTTTACAGATGGAAAGTTGTCTTATGCTACAAAAGTCATCACTTCCTCGAATGTGCCGATTCCCCCAAATCGCCATGGCAGAGATTGAGTTGTTGCTACTCACACCACTCACAATGGGATGCCGGCGGTGCCCTTCAAAGCATCGGATTACTACGGTATTATGGCAGAAGAATGCAAGCTTTCAATTGTTGGGCGATTTCTCAAACCACGGCCACAAATTGACAAAATTAGGTCAAAATTCAAGGAATTAATCTCGATTAAGGATTCTGCCAAAATTGGGGTTTATAACAATTATAATATTTTTCTGGACTTCACCAACGAAGAAGACTTTAATTCAGTTTGGTTTAGAAGGGTTATTGAAATTGAAGGCCAACAGATGTGGCTGCAAAAATGGTCCCCTAATTTCAAACCTGAAGAGGATCTGCCTATTGCTCCGGTAGGGGTCCTTTTTCCTGGTTTACCTTTTCATATGCACACATGGAACTATGTTAAACAAGTGATGAGTGCAATTGATACCCCCCTCCCCTCCCTCCCCGAAATGGATTTGGCTACTGGAGGAAGGACGAGGCCAAGCATGGCAAAAGTTAGAGTCGAAATCGACCTGCTTAAAGACCAACCAGACTCTGTTTATGTGGGACAAATATACGAGAATGCTCCTCAGAAAGGTTTTGTTCAAAAGTTGGAGTTTGAAGGTGTTCCAAAATATTGTAAGTTTTGTAGAAAGTTGGGTCATAATATGATCAATTGTAGAGCTCTAGAAAGGAAGGAAACTGCTGAAACTAGACAATTGGAAGCTCAAAAAGCTCTGGCAAATCAGAATGAAGAAGCAAATGGAAATGAAAAAGACAACAAACTGGATGAATCAGAAAATGGTATTGCTATAGATAATGCTCAAACTAGTGCCAATATGATAAAGAATCAATTGTACCAAAAGAATGGTGCTGAACTGGAGAATATCATACAAAGGTTATCAAGCAATATCAAAGACAGAACCAACAGAAAGATTAAGAAGCACAAACAGAAGAAACTTCCCAAGAAGAAGGCTAAAGTAATTTTCAAGCCCATTATCAAATCCATCAGAAGTTACAAACAAGGACAAGAAGAACAACAGAGAGATATGGCTTTACAAGATATAGATCAGGGAAGTGAACATATTGAGACCAAGGATAAATAGAGGCATCCGAGCAACAATAGAGAGGGGGAAGGTCACAGTCAGGATACATTAATTAGAAATCGAAGAAATAATGAAAACACTGGAACTCCAAATCACAATGAAGCCAAAGAAGACTATTAGGAATCAATACAAGAAAATGGTGATCAAAATGAAAATGGAGATCAAGAGGAAAGACAAGCAGGAAAGAAAGCTCTTACAATGAAAGACTACGCCAATGAATCAACTAGTATATCCTCTGAGATCAGAAACCTTCCTGGGATTAATGTGGTAGTCGATCTCAATCTTGAATCCAATCTAAAACAGGACAAACATGTTACAAGCCAACAAAGTGAAGTGACTTTCCCTAATAGGGTGACAATCATGATTCTGGATTACCAACTTCAAACAAAATCGAAGGAAGGATCTTTCCAGGTTATAGGAGGCAAAGAAAAGGGGAAGAAAAAAGGAAAAAAGAACAAAAACAAAGATACTACACCTCCTAAAGGAGGAAACTCGTGCTAACTCTCTGATTTTTCCATGATAAGTGCAATATTCTAGAACATTAGAGGAGTCAATACCAAAAAAGCCTTGCCAAGGTTAAAAACACTGATTACCATCTATAAGGTGAAACTTGTTACCATTCTGGAACCTTTTGCCAGTACCAATCAATTGAAAAGTGCAGGAGATTCCTTGGATATCATCATTGTATCTCCAATACTAATGGCCGGATTTGGATCATGTGGTCAGGTAACAACATGACCACCGTTTTGAACAATCATGAGCAACAACTTAGTGTCAAATTGCACTATGGGGCTGCTAATAGTGATCTCTATATCACAACAGTTTATGCTAAGTGCACTCCTGAAGAAAGGAGAGATCTATGGAGTAGCTTAGAGTGCACTCATCTCCAGGTGAATGGTCCATGGTGCATCGGGGGTGATTTCAATGTCATCCTAGACCCCAATGAGAAAAAAGGTGACATGCCACATAGAATGAATAAAAATCTCGATTTCAATACTTGTATGGATAACTGTGGAGTGATGGATTTGGGATTTGTTGGGCCAAAGTATACATGGTGTAACAATTGGGAACCTAGAAGAAGAATCTAGAAGAGGCTTGACAGAGTGTTTATCAATGATCAATGGTCTCAGGTTTTTCAAAATGACACAGTCAATCACTTGGCTAGAATTGGGTCTGATCATAGGCCTATTCTAATTCAATGTCATGATCCTAACCAACAGGGGACTAAATATTTTAAGTTTCTCGATTTCTGGACTAATCAACCATCATTTTTGCAGGTAGTAGAAGAAGTTTAGAGTAATCAAGTTCAAGGTAACCCTTTGTGGAGACTTCAACAAAAGCTCAAAATGCTTAGTAGAAGGCTGACTCAATGGTCTAAAGAAGACATTGGCGATGTCTTTGATCAAGTCCAGTATTGGAAAAATAAAATGCAAGACCTTGAGAAAAGTGATCTAAATAACAGTAATGATCACTCTAGGATTGAATTGAATAAAGGCCAAGTTGAATACATTAGATGGATGGGGATGCAGGATGCCATTCTCAGGCAGAAAGCTAAGGTGAATTGGTTTGAAGAAGGTGGCGCTAATACTAAATATTTCCATAGCACCATTAGAGATAGAAGGAGAAGATTACAAATTCACAGAATTAAAGACCACAGAGGTCAATGGATTAAAGGAGATTCTAACATTGGCAAAGCAGCTGTTCACCACTTTCAACAGTTCTTTAATATCAAACACCACTTCAAGGATCAAGATATCATCAATTGTATCCCTCAATGTATTAATGATGATGATAATGAAACCCTTACTGCCATTCCTGATATTGAAGAGATTAGAGATGTTGTATTCAACATAAGTCCTACTAGTGCAGCTGGGCCGGATGGCTATAATGGGAAATTCTTTCAAACATGCTGGGACATCATTAAGGACTGATTTTGTTTAAGATGTCTTCAATGGTAGAATACTTTATAAGTTCTTTTCTCATACATGCCTTGCTCTTATTCCTAAAGTGGACTCTCCTAGTAGTTTCTCAGATTTGAGACCTATTAGTTTGAGTAACTCTACGGCCAAGATTATCTCCAAAATACTATCTAGAAGACTGAATCCTATACTAGGGAAGCTCATATCCGAGAATCAGGGTGGCTTTGTCAAAGGTAGATTGATCATTGAAAATATTCTTCTAGCCCAGGAGATTGCTCAAGGTGTGAACAAAAAGAACAGAGGGGGCAATGTTATTATAAAGCTTGACATGGCAAAAGCCTACGACATAATTTCATGGACCTTCCTGATGGCAGTAATGAGGAAATTTGGCTTCTCCGAAAATTAGATTGACCTTATTTGGAGACTTCTACAGGGAGTCTGGTACTCCATCATTATCAATGGTGCAAGAACTGGTTTCTTCACATCTACTCAGGGCCTCAAACAAGGGGACCCTCTATCCCCTTCTTTGTTTATTATTGGAGCCGAGGTTCTTTCCAGATCTCTCAATGAGCTGAATGATTTTATTAGCTTTACTCCTTTTAGCATGGATCACAGAGGGCCAATTATTAACTATTTAACTTATGCAAATGATATTGTTATTTTCTGTGAAGATAACAACATGACTATCAAGATTATTAAAAAGGTTATTGATAGATATGAAAAGGCATCTGGGCAAAAAGTTAACAATGACAAGAGTTTCTTTATCATAGCTCCTCACACTTGTGCCAACAGAATCAATAGAATTAGAAATGCAATTGGTTTTATGGATAAGTCTTTCCCATTTACTTATTTGGATGCCCTATATATTATGGGAGAAAGACAAGCAGTCTCTTTGATGATATGCTCTCTAGAATTATCAAAAAGCTCAATGGATGGCAGGCCAATATGATGTCTCCTGGGGGGAGAATGATCTTGATCAAAGTGTTCTGCAGTCTCTTCCCACCTATACATTGTCTTCTATGAATCCTCCTAAAGGTATTACTAAGCTCATGGAGAAACACTTTGCTAATTTCTTTTGGGGCTCCAATAAAGGTAGAAATAAATATCATTGGTCTTCATGGAACAATCTTTGTCTCCCTAAAGATAAGGGAGGAGCTGGTGTTAGGAAAATGGAGGACATCATTGACACACTTAGCATCAAAAGGTGGTAGAGATTTAGAACTCAACCTTCCCTATGGGCCACCTTTCTCAAGAATAAATACTGCAAAAGAGCTCATCCGGTGAACAAAGGACTAAGTCCAGCTGACTCTCATATATGGAGAAATATGTTAAAGACCAGAGACAAAGCAGAGCATAACATTAGATGGGGAGTTCAAAAATTTAATTGCAGCTTCTGGTGGGACAACTAGACCGGCAAAGGTGCATTAGCCAATCTCTCACAAGGTGGTGGTAGGTCTGCTAAAGTACAGGTGAAGCAGTTCTTGAATAATGGAGGATGGAATATTGACAAACTTAATGAAGTTCTCCTTGTTCATCTTACTGATTGCATTATTTAATTGGACATTGGTGATCCGAATGAAGATGACTTTCCTGTTTGGATTATTTCTAATAATGGGCATTTTTCTTTTAATTTAGTATGGCAATCTATTAGATTTAAAAAGCAAAAGAATGATTTTATAAACAAAATATGGCATAACTTTATCCCTTTTAAAATTTCTTTTATCACTTGGAGGTTTTTTAAAAATAGATTGTCGTTTGATGATGTTATAGGCAAATTTGGCACTAATATCATTTCTAGATATTCCTGTTGTTCTTCTGCGCATGTGGAGACAGTGCAATATGTTTTCAATAGTAGTGATGCAGCCAATTTCGTTTGGAATTTCATTGGGAATTCACTTTGAATCAAGCACCAACAAGAACCTATAATTGCTACATTCAAGAGATGGTGGGAGACAAGCGCCAATAATAGAGAGCATAATCAAATCCTATAGATAGCTCCTATGGTCATATGTTGGGTACTTTGGAAGCAGAGAAATGCGTGTAGATATGGAAAGCAAAAAAAGTTTCAACTAAACACCATGAGACATCAAAGCATTTGGACCTTAAAAGAAGCAATTTCCAAACATGTTCTTGGCGACTATACTCATCTGGAATGGCCCTTATTATGCGAAAAAATGGAGAGACTCAGGCCATCGCAAAAATGGATGCAAGTTATATGGGAACCCCCTTTGCCGGGAACTGTCAAGGTTAATACTGATGGTAGATTTTGCAAGGAAAGTGTAAAAGCGGCTATCAGTGGGGTGGTTAGGGACTGCCATAGTGATCTCATTATGGCCTTTTCTATCCCCGTCAATTGTGATAGTAACAATATGGCGGAGGCAAAACCAGCTGAGTTTTGAGGGAAATAGTGTAGCCAAAATGGATACACTAATTTTTCTCTTGAACTTGACTCAATGGTTATTGCTGATATGCTTAAAGAAAGAGAACCAACAATTTGAAGATCAAGTTGGTGACTGATAGAGCCTTCAACATTGTTAAACATGCTAGAGTTAATGTTAAGCATTGCTTCAGAGAAGGTAATCAGATAGCAGATTGTCTTGCAAAATTGGCTACCACCACAAGTCAGAGGAGAGTGTTCCATTCATTCCAACAACTGCCCAATAGTGCTAAAGGACCTTTCCTCTTAGATAAACGACAGCTTCCTAGTATAAGGACGAAGTATGAAAAATTTAATTTCTTCGTTAGTTAATATGTTCATAGTTTCTCACGAAGGAGAGCTTATATATGAACCTCCTTTCCTGTTATTGTTATTGGGGTGATGGTATCACCGTTGTTGTATTTTTCTAAGGTAAGGTCTAGTCCCCCTCTTGCGCTTTTTTGAATACAACACAATCTAGACGGCTGTCTTGGAAATGTTATAAAAAAAAATAATCCTTAAAAAAAATTAATTTAAAGAATCAATAGTTGCAACTTGCAAAAGGCTGCGAGGTGAACAAAGAAAAATAAATAGAAAAGCCTGATATTTTATATGCCAATGCCACACAAGAGGGGGGTAATTTATGTGGTGTCCAATTTTTGCGTGCACTGATTATAGAAGGACTTAGTTCTTCTAAATATTTCTTATACTACTGTTGCAAAAATAGTGAATGCAGAAAGTAAAGAATACAAGTATTTTTACGTGGAAAACACTCTGCTCAAAAGATAAAAAAAACCACGACCTACTACTCAGTAGAATTTTTTCCAACACTTCACTAAATCAATGAGTCAAAACAGCATTTACAAAACTCTTTGTAAACCTAAGGTTAACTCTAATCCCGTTGTGGTAGCTAGCCTCTAACTGTTGCGACAACTTTCAAGTTAACTCTAACTTGAATACTCAGAGTACCTAATACAATTACTTCTAGATAAAGCTGAAAGGTACAATTTAAAATTCACCTACTACAATGAAACTAGAATAAAAGAAAGACACTTGGAACTACTTCTTCTATCTGGTTCATGTAGCTTCAGCTTCGCACACTTGAATCACACAAGAATTTCTTGCAAAATGCCTTGCTATTTTGCTCTCAATTCACGTTTAACTTCAGCATTTGTGCGTACATGTAGAATAAGAACACCCTGTAATATGTAGAGTTACTAGAATAAGAAATAACTAGAGTTCTATTGCTATTCTTCCTTGGTGGAAGAGTTCTAGTTAACTTCAACTTCTAACTCCTTCCTTATCTTGGATAGTATTCTCTTTGAGTAAGGAGTCCTTCTCCTTATCAATTATGCAACCTTTTCGATCAGGAGATATCATATATACCAAGTTAAGCTTATCTCCTTCACATGCATTCCTCATGCTCGAATCTTCCCGTGTCTGTGTACACAGGGGATGGACCTGGTTCATGCCTGAGTTCCTTTGTTAATCTTCAAAACAAACTTCACTTGGCCCAACAAGTTTCCCCTTTTTGATGAGACAAACTCTGTGCTTTTCATAAGCGTAGGCCCCGTTTCAACTTATCTCAACATCAACACAATGTTAGAACATTTTACCTTTTTTAAAGTCGCTTATCATCAAGGACCAGGTTCATTAGGTTATAAACATCACAGTCCAAAGTAAAAGCACAACATAATTCCCCATTTTGGCATCATCGAAAAGTTACATAATAATGTTAGATAACCAGATATTAAATAGAAATTACTCATGGCCAATAGGCTATTTAAAATGCAATCATGGAGTCAATCATCATCTATCAATCTAAAGATATTAGCCATCTAAGAAATATTACAAACAATTAGAGAAAAAAGCAGTGAATTTCATTTATTGATAAGATCCTACCACAAAGCATAAGAAAAAATAAAAACAGTGGATCATGAGCAAAAGAAGCAAAAATAAATCCCGAACTAGGTCACTGGTTGATCTACACTATGCTAGGAAGCTTAAGGCTGGGAAGGACTAGGTTCTTGGTTTTTGGTTTGGAGCAGTTTCGGCATATCCTGAAGAATGCCAACATTCTTGTCCTTTTCTTTTGCCAGCTCAGCTCTGAGAGTATCTCTCTTAGCCTCCACCTCTGCCAACCTCTTCTTCAGCCTATCAATCTCAGCATCCTTAGCTCCACTTTCTTGCACCAAAGCTCGCACTTTGCTGTTTACAGGTACCTTTTTGATGAACCGGGTTCTTTGGGAGTTGTGTGTACTTCATAGTCATAAGCAGTCAACGTATTTGCTCCAAAGTGATCCTTGGTTGTACCAACCTCCCATTTCTCTATGGGTACCTTGAAGTGTGCAAGTACAGCCGTGAGAATGAAGCCATAGGGTATGGCATGAGTTTTGGTGCCAGTTAGAACCCTATCAAAAAGTTGAATAATGAATCCAGGCCAATTGATTTTCCTCCCACTGTCCAAACATTCCATAAGGACCAGGTCCATGAATATGGCAATGTGCATCCTTTCTTTCCTAGGTAGGACAACTTTGTTAACAAATTCGAATAGCACTTTGTGGGGAGGCTTCATATCACTTTTATACATAGCCTT